GGCTGCAAAATCTATTAGCATTGCCAACTTGTCTAAGTTTGGACACTTACTGTTTCCACACTTGAGTGTGAGACATGTTGAGGTGCTTCTTTGTATGATTCCTAAGCTAGGCTAACGTTTTTTTTTTAATAACGTTTACCACTAAGCGCAAACGTTGTAGAATAGTAATGAAAACGTCAAGGCCGACAATGTTGTTATGACTCCAAGAATTTAACACATCGCTTGTGAGAGCATTGTGTTGAATAAGACTCTTTAGCCTAATTCGCGCTTAAGTTACTTCAGTAGCTATCATAGATTGATAGCTTATTCTCTCCTTCTTATGGATAGTAGAATTAATTGCAAGTAACTATGAAGCGAGAAATAGAAATGGCAAAAAGAGTATCGTCATCTTTAACTAGATTCAGTAAAGTGTATAAAGAATAAAATTGACTTGAAGGTGCAGGGGATTAGCACTTGCTAGTTAAAGTAGCGAGTATCTATTTGAGTTTTTTTTTTTAGAAAGCTCTGTGAAGAGATATGGATGCTTAGAAAGTTGATTACTCCTAGTACTCAACAACACAATGGTGTAGTAGAGATAAGGAATTAAATATTGTTAATGTTAGGTGGTTAATGGCGCAAAATGTTTCCCAATTGGGAATTGCACTAATTTGTTGCCTATATCCCTAACTAGTGTCCTCTATATTAGATTTTACACTCCATTTGAGTAATGGATTAGCGGAGAGCCATCTATGGGCGATCTGTAACCATTAAGCAGCTTATCTTTATTTTACTTCTCATAAGGTTGCAAAGTTAAGACCTAGGGTTCTATAGCGCATTATTGTATGCTGTCTTATAAACACATAGGGTCGTGTGGCGCATTATTGTATGCGGTCATGTAAACCCTCTGGGTCATGTGCATATAGGTAAGCAGCTTTGTGGTAGTGTAACTAAGTGGCATAAAGTTTTCTTAGTAAAGGTGACGTGAATAGAGTTTTGGAACTCTATAAGATAGAGAATTCTAAACATAGCGCTTTTATGTAGCCTAGTTGAGAATGGAAAGAAATTTCCAATGTCCTAGGGACAATGTGAGCGATGTCCCTACTAATGGATTACTCCATTAGAGAAGAATACTCTACATTCTTAGTTGCGTGGTAACGAATGTGAAAATTTTTCACGTCATCACTGGGTGATTGAAAAGGAAACATTCATGATTGCTCCGCAAGATGATAAAGAGCCTAGGATAATGCCAAAGGCTCTAGTCCCCTGTTTTTAGAAAGTGGATCAATGTTGCGTAGTTTAAGACAAAGTCTTTGAGGATTAACCATTTCTATAATTTGGTTGACTTTCCATTATGACGCGAAACTGTTCTAAAGTTATGCGTAATTTGGATAGTCATTGTTGAGGCATAAGGCTCACTAGATACCGAAAAGTCGCACCATTAAGGAAAGTGTAGACCATGAGAAGACTTCCTCCTGGGGAGTAAGGCTATTTTGACTTAGGCTATGATTGACATAAGTTCAGAACATTGATTTGTGGACATTGTAACCCAACTTTCTCGTTAGAGAATTGGATAAGTAGATCCGTAGGGATTTACCTTTTGCTTTTATGGTGAAAAGTTAGGAGCGCAAAAAGGTTACTAGTTCCAATAAATCTTTTACAGCCTAAAACAGTTATTCAAATAGTGGTTCTTAGATTTCGTCAAGCCATGATAGGCCAACGATGATCGATGAAGACCACTGAGGCATGATCAATGGTCCAAAAGAAGTTTTTCCTTACTTAGTCATTATGAGCTAGGAATTTATAGAGTTGTCACCACCTAGGGTGGGCAGTCCTCTGTTTTAGATATGATGGACATGGGTGATGTAATTTATATGCTCGGATGTATGATCCTTAGGGATTGTTTTGGGAGAATTCCTGTTTTATCTTCGATGACTTACATAAGGAATATCCTAGAACAATTCTAGATGCAAAATTACAAACCCATTGACTTACCTATCAGTAAAAGTCAGAGCCTTAGCTATTGAGTGAATCCTCGGATTGTCTTTGGGAAAAACAGATGACCTATATTCCTTGGTCTTTTCTTTGTTGTGGGAGCCTAAAGTACGTTATGTGGACGTATCCGGCATGATAAGTGTTATCTTTGGTAAATGGTCAACTGAGTTGTTTAGACATTGACCTTGCTCATTAGACTGTGGATAAAATGCTTTACTACTAGTATATTAATTTGCTTCTTGTAAGATTCAATGCGCTAGTTAGGCACATCAAGAATGAACGCAAATTGGTCACCAAAATATCTTTAGAGAGGTTATTGCGCAAGAGGTAGTGATCTTGAATCACTTCATGTGAGGCGCACATGGAGGATTCCGTTGTATATGCTTATCGCAAGAGGTGCTGATAAGGCATATGTTTGGAATCTAAAATTGCGCAAGTTGTGGTCATGTTTTTTAGATCGATTACTTATTTGTTGTGAGATGATGGGATGTTGACACTATTATGGTTTGTGTCATAATGATTAGCAGATGATGATGTCAGCAGGCAAGATTGGCTCACTCACACAAGCAACCGCCCTTGGCGTTTGGGAGCGAGCAAGGATGAGACTAGTGGTTTATTTTTTATTTGGAGCCAAGAGAGGCTTAAATTATCCACTATGCATGTTGCCTTGGTTACAACCAAGATGAGGTCATGTTAAGGACCAAACATGGATGTTAGTACCCACTTTTCATGTTGTGCCTGTTATGATTAGCCAAATGTGAGATCTCATTTGGCGCCTAGAAGGCGAGCAAATAGAGAATTCGGGTTAGGCGCTAGAAAGCGACTAGACTAATATCTGTACAGTGTATCGAGTATGATGTCACTCTTTTGGAAGAGTTACTCCACCATAGCATGTATTCATACTATATGTGCTTGGCGACCGAGTGATGAGGTGAGAGAATGGATCCTTATTTCCTCACCGTGTGAGTCTTACATGTCATTATTAATATGACTTTCATTTATGTACCATTTTGTGACTTTTGACTATGTCATAAGGTAAGGGGTTGCTGTTCTGCTACTTTGGTATGTTGCCTGCGGTCATGTATGATTCGGCCTTAAGGGACATCACTGGGAAAGCGGTCAATCCTAAACTAAATGACATGAGGGCAAAGGGAAGATCATCTAGTATTACACTACTGCTGTATATTCACTGCCGGCAACTCACATCGCTCTGTATGAGAGGCAGATTGAGTGTGAATATATTGAAAGAATTGAGAGGGTCAAACATGTTTTTTTTTTAGGGATTAGAGATGTTTTTTGGACCGGTGTAATTAGATGGGTTTGGGGTATATGAGACACTATTTCTAGTCTTTTTGGGTTGATGTCTCTATGCTGGCTTATTTTGAGTTTCTAGTATAGAGCTCCCACATGCAGGTGTTCTCAGCAGTCGCACGGTGCATTGGCTAGTATGAGATTGTTCATTTTTGGGGAGATTGAGATAAAAATGTGACAGTGTCATGCCAACTCATGTGCGAGTGAGAGATGTTAGAAATTGGGCGCCCATGTGGCATGACCTTTTGAACCTTTTGAACCTGAACCTTATCCATGTAAGTTTGAATTTAAATTCAAAACTTATTTGGATAATCATTCAAGATATCTATATCTATCATATCAATAGATATGATAGATGGATAGATAGATATTGGTTGTTATATATTTGATTATATACATCTGATATGATGGGAATAATATATCGATATCAGATACATTATGTGGTTTTTACCCATAACATTTTTTTTCTAGATTCTCTCTCTAACTCTCTCCCATATGAGAACGATCCAGCTTCTGCACTATGACTTATGTGGGTGATACTCATTTTGTAGTATCACTCCACTGCTGGGTTAGTTGTTCACATCTTGGAAGCACGTGATTTACCCACGAGATTCTTCGCTTCAGGCTCTACTAAAAGGTATGACTATGAAATTTTTCATCTGCTGCATTTTATACTTTGATTTACATCGGTATCAATGAAATTTTTCATCCACTGCGTTTTATACTTTGATTTACACAATCTGCTTGGCTTCTGAGAACGACACATTAGATTGCTGAATTGAGTTTTTTTTCATAATTAAAATTGAGAATATTATAAATTAAGAATATTCTCAATTTCAAAAAAAACTCAGCTAAACAACTCGCTCACTCCGAAATTACACTGCATATGTGTCACATGCACACTACACACCACACACACAATTGAGAGAGAGAGAGAGAAAGAGAGAGAGAAGAGAGAGTGTGCATATGGAGAGAGAAAGAGAGACAATGCAGAGCGATGGGGTAGCACAACCTAAAAATGCGGATTCGAACTATCACCCTCTACAGCGACGCCGATACTCACAGCCTCCACGTGAAATCCGCCGACGAAACGGTTCGAATCGGTCCTCCTCTTGCTCGATCGAGTTATCTCAACGCTTCGTCCATTATTGAAGCTGCAATTCATACTGGTGCCCAAGTAATTTGGTCCCCTAATCATCTTGATTGCCAAGAAACAATGCTTTCTGTTCTTGGATCTTCCGTTTTGATGTCACAATTGTGCTACTGTTTGGCATTTTGATTATCGGAGGTTTTATATACTGTTTCTTAATGATTTCTTAAACTATATAAATCATTCTAGAAAAAAATAGAGATGATGGAATTCCAGTGCTAGTGTAGCGATGGTTGGAAGACGACCATCTAATTTCCAAATTCAGGTTTAGAAGGGTAAATTAGTCTATTAAAAATTAATGAGACTTAAAGGAGCAAATAATTTTATCTAAGACTTAATGGATTACAAGCTCACAAAATAAAACTTGTATGTAAATATTCTATTTTTAAAAAATTCCACAAAAAATAAAAAAATCAAAATCAAAACTAAAATCAAATGTCAATTATTATACGTCATTTCTTTTTTTTTCTTTTTTTTTTTATCAGAATTATTATACGTCCCAATCAAGCAATCTTATGCGTCGTCGTTTAAGCACGTCACCCTGTTCCCCATTTCTTAATCGTGTTATCTTCCTCCCTCTCTCTCTCTGTGGCTTTTCGCCAAACAGTGCATGTGTCATTCTCAGTCCCAAGCTCTTCTTCGTCCTTCGAGCGAAACTTCAAAATCAAACACACAGCAGAGCAGAGACCATCATCATCATCATCATCATCATCATCATCATCAATCTCTTTCTAGTCAAAAATGTCTTACGACTATCTCTTCAAGTACATAATCATCGGAGATACAGGTGCGCTCAATCGCCCCTTTGATTTGACCTCAATTTTGATCATTAAACCCTAATTCACTCTGTATGTACTGGTTTTGTGACTCTGTGTGTGTGTGTGTGTGTGTGTGTGTGTGTGTGAATTCAATTTTTGAAATTTGTGGTTGTTTGTGTTGGATTGGTAGGTGTGGGGAAATCATGTCTGTTGTTGCAATTCACGGACAAGAGGTTCCAACCGGTTCATGATCTCACCATTGGAGTCGAGTTTGGTGCTCGCATGGTCACCATCGATGGCAGACCCATTAAGCTCCAAATTTGGGACACCGTAAGTTTCAACTCATTACCTTTATTAATTAGTCATTTTACTTAATTTGGTTCTTATTTAACAATATCTGGATGTTGAAGAGTGATACTAGCAATTCAATCCATCATATACTACTTTTGAGAACTTCAATTCAATCTTTCTTCCCTTCAGTTTTGTTTTTCCCCTAAAATAAGTATAATCCCCAACCTCTGGTGTTTTCTGTAGGACTATGTTATTATTTGTGAAAATACTGAATATCATCTCTTTCGATGTAACCACACCAATAGATGTGTTGTGTTAGGGATCCCTATGATATATTTTGTATAAACATTTTGGATTTTACATATATCTGTGTATAGAAAATTCATTAACATAAATTCCAAGACATTGTTCTACGAATGTTATCTGGTCTCTCTCTCAATGCCACTACTATGATAATCATTTTATTCTTTCTACTGGAAATTGCCTATCTTTCACAAATCCAGACTCATTGATCCATAGTTACTTACCGCATTGTTTGTTGTTGCTTTGTTGCATTTCAAATTATCAAGTTTCTTTCCTTTTTTCTTTTTTTCCATGTCATTTGGATCATGTGAATGCTCAGGATAAGAATCTATGCGAATGATACTCTTAATTTTCATTATATATTATTGAATTCGGAGTTAGATTGTTTATCTGCAAACTTTCTTATGATGGCTTGTGAAGTGGGTTGTGAATATCGGAACCTTGGTTCTTTCATTCATGATTACAAGCAGAATGACTATTGAAATCCAAGCATAAAAAGAATATAGTGTCTGGTTGCTCTAGGTATATATATTGTGCCTCTTGAATTTGATTCTGGTCAGGATATCTCTTATTTCTTGTTTGCCATCCAAGTCCAGATTTGGTTCATTGTTGTTCTTGCGGAGATTATTAACATATCTCTTCTTTTTAGTTTACCATCCAATCCAGATTCTTTAGTCAAAAAACAAAAGAAAAAAAATATATAGCCAATCCAGATTCAGTTCATTGTCATTATTGTGGAGATTGTTAATTTGTCTCTATTTTGCATCATTCATTAATATTCCAAAATTTTAAGTTAATTCCGTTTTGCTCATGTTTTTATCTGTGAGATTCATATTGTTAGTGCTTCATTTCTTCAATTGTTTGATGGTAACTTGTTGCTCTAACCTTTCTACCTGCCACTTGCTCAGATTTGATATTAGTGTTTGTTTGTCAGTGTGTTTAAGCAAAAACACTTCTGTTTCAGGCTGGACAAGAGTCTTTTAGATCCATCACCAGATCGTATTACAGGGGAGCAGCTGGGGCCCTTCTGGTTTATGACATTACTAGGTATCACTTTTGTGGTTGTTCATCTCTCTTTCTCGGCAAAAGTGTGTGCTCAAACAATGTGCACATGCAATCATGTATTGTAGGTTTCTGTTTGAATGCATGTCTGTGTTAATTATGTTATTTAGCTGAATATTTGGTTGCTAACTTCTTATTGATGAATGTAATTCCAAGTCATAAAGTTAAGATGAACTTAACTATGGACATTACTTGTTTCCATTTGCATAACCTGACTCTTCTATCCTTTGGAGCAGAGCTCTCTCTCTCTCTCTCTCAAGGACCCATTTGGAGACCTCCATGAACAGACATGAATAAATGAAAATGTAAGACAGTTCTTTTGGTCTTAGGGGATCTAGACATTAGAAGGTAACTCTGGACGAGGCAATACAAACAGCGTGAAATGCGCATTTGTATGTCGTACTTGCATGCTTTCCCAAATAATTAAGGCTTTTTCTGCATGTATATACACGTATACGTAAGTTAGATTTTGGTCAAGGGCACTGAGACATTAGAAAGTATTTGCTCACCAGGCAGCATGCATCTAGCATGGAACAAGAATTGGTTTGTTGTATCTACCTGTTTTCCTGATTGAAACTTTAATGTGGATTAGAGATAATTGAGAATAAGTTGCAACCTATGAAGCACGGACACGGACACGTGACACGACATGGACACGAGGACACGCAAATTGTAAAAAAATGGGAGATACGACACGCTGGGGACACGTTCAATATATATAATTAAATTTACTTAATACATGTCATAAAATTATAAATAAATAAAAAATCATTGAAAGGTAATAAAAAAATACAAAATAACACTATTAATAAAAATTGATTCCTATAATGAAATTAATAAACACATCATTAAAATTAACAAAAACTAATTTGTTCTTATAAAGTAATCGGCCAAAATATATATATATATATATATGTATATAAATAAATAACAGATAGAGACAAGAAAAGCCACACGAAAAAAATAAAAAAGAACAATATAAAAAATAAAATAAAAAAATCGCAGAGAGAGAGAGAGAGCCATTCAGCATAAAAAGAAGCGAAAAAAAATGAAGAAAGACAGACTGAGAGAGAGAGAGAGAGTGATTAAGAGAGAAGTTGAACGAAGAAGAAGGTCGAAAGAGGAAGAAAGAGAGAGAGTGACTGAAAGACAGAGATCAAAAAGCAGAAGAAGATCAAAAGAAGATGATCGAAGAACATACTTTTGCAAGAGCAATGAGTAGCGAGCAATCTTCTTTCAGCCTCTTCTCCTCTTTCTATTCGACATCCAGGTTAGGGCTTGGTTTACTTGCTTCAAATTTTGTTTTTTACAAATTGATCCCCAATTGAAGTTTCAGAAATTATGTTTTTGGCCCTGCGGTGTCGAAACGTGTCCATAGCATGTCTGGCTGTAAAAAAAAAAGAAAACAAAAAGGGGACACCTTCTGAGACGTGTCGGACACGTGTCCCCCGCGTGTCCGACACTGAAACATAGCCCTCAGAGAGGGGTTTGTGCTTCATATGAAACCCTCTGTATTTGCAAATTCTGCTATTGAATGAAGTATTACAAATATACAACGTGAAAGAAACATATTTATGCTTCAAAGATTTGGCTTTTGGAGGACTGGAGCAGTGTTGATTAACCTTTTGTAGATATGAGCTTAATGTCTGTGAGTATTGGGTTCTTGTTGGGTTCAAGTTACTAGTTTCCTGTCAAGAATAAGTTCTATATGTTCACTATTATGAGTATATGCATAGGTGCATTCTTTGAATCTTTCTCCCAAACAAGAATACACTTGTATGCCTGCAGTCTGAGGGTTGTTCTGAGAGTATATCCTTTGGTAGACGTACAACTTTTAGATTTTTATGGTAATCCATTATGATTTCCTGTTCTATCCAGGAGAGAGACATTTAATCATCTAGCAAGCTGGCTTGAAGATGCTCGGCAGCATGCAAACCCAAACATGAGCATAATGCTTATAGGGAACAAGTGTGATCTTGCGCACCGTAGGGCTGTCAGCAAAGAGGAAGGGGAACAATTTGCAAAGGAAAACGGGCTTTTATTCCTGGAGGCATCTGCAAGAACTGCCCAAAATGTTGAGGAGGTGATATTACTGAACCAAATTTAAATCGGGCACTCACTTCATAATGTTTGTGTTTATGGCTTGGAAACCCCTGCTGACCTGAATGCCATATTTTATTTAAAGTTAATATAAGATTATCTTACAGGCCTTTATAAAAACTGCTGCGAAGATACTTCAGAAGATTCAGGAAGGCGTGTTTGACGTCTCTAATGAGGTAAAGTCTTCAAATTTGAGCATTGTATCTGTTCTGCACTTCATGACCCCAAACTGTTATTGGAATACACTCATCGACCTCTATGAGTTACATAATAAAATAAGTTATCCCGTAATCTAATGATCCGGAATAGGGCATTGTTAAGGGAAGAAAATAAACAAAGCTGCACTGTACAATGTTTGGTTGGGTCCAATTTATCAGCTCATTATTGACATAGGAGATGACGTGTTCCCCCGCATTGCGGGAACCAAGTTTGAATTCATAGTGGGAATAATATATATATTTTTTTATTACATTTGTGATGTTTTTATTTATCTATTTATATCTGGTAATCATTGCAGTCATCTGGCATCAAGGTTGGATATGGGCGTCCCCAAGGTTCATCGGGAGATGGAACAGTTACTCAGAGAGGTGGATGTTGCGGCTAATTAAAATAAAAACAGCAATTGTTATGTACCCTACCCTTATGTGCATTTTATCCTCTGCTTGGCCCATCTCTAAATGAATATGATATGTACAGAGCAAATGGTGGGTTTTCCGGTGATTGATTCAATATTACTTTCATGGTTAACTAAATTTAGTTGAACTCGGAGAGTTGCATTTGGCTTGTTGCTTGAAGTTTATACACCATAAATAGTTGATTAACTTCAATGATTCTACATTTGTGCTGTGTTCTATTTCTCCTTTTTAATGGATGGCTATTTTAGAAATTATGATTGTCATTTGATCATCTTAATTTTTTATAACACCATAAATAGTTGATTAACTTAAATGATTCTACATTTGTGCTGTATTCTATTTCTCCTTTTTAATGGATAACTATTCTAGAAATTATTAATTTTTTATTTCTCCTTTATAACATCATCTTTATTTCTCCCTTGTGCTGTATTCTATTTCTCTTTTATAACATCATCTTAATTTTTTATATGAATATTTTACGTAATGATTTCTAAAAGTGAACGGTCGGGCCTTGGAATGGGTCCAAGTTCTCTCAAGTTGGTTTGGTTTGGTAACATAACTTAAGAGAATTTAAATCCTGTTTTAAGCAAACCAATCAAGCCTGAGATATTGGTTCGTATAACTAGTTATACAGGAGATGACTTCACATTTTTTCACAATATTCAAACATGAGGTGAATTCATCCATGAAAACAACAATTTACATGCATTGCCAAAGTTGGCTTCAGTAGTTTCTGATTAAAAAATAGGTGTGAACGCAGCATCAATGAACATCCATATATGATCAATGTCCACGATATACATACAGCAACAGCTAACCACGAGGTACTACATTTGCTCCATTATTCCCAAGTCATTTTCAATCAAATATTTATTATTGTAGCTGTCTAGTGGAGATTGAACTAAAGAAAACAACAGAAAATGAAAGGATCAAAATGAAAAATAATCAGAGTAGCGACAAACCAAGCCACATTAATAAATCCTTCTAAACTGTATTTACTTTTAACCCTAACAAAACTTCTAAAAAATTCTTGCCCAATATATCTTATCATATGCATCAAAATTCCACCTGACATGGTTCATAGTCTAGTGACCAGCAACCTAATGATTAGAAAGAGAAACAATCTGAACACAGACATGTACAAAACATGACCACTTCCTCTTTTCCCCAATCCATATCCAAATTAAATATTAAAAATTAAAAAATAAATCTCTAGTGTCAATCATGTGATTACAAACAAAGATACTGGCCAATAGCTAAAACACATTGCAGAGGCAAAACATGAAGCTGCTGCTTAATAGAGCTTTATTCTGGTTTGGATTGAACTCCGACAAATTGGGCATATTTGAAGATCTTGTCCACAGTCGCAACATGTCTGATGCCCACAACCAAAAGCCATGTCCTTCGGATTACTAAGGCAAATGGGACAAACCTGTCAAAGTCCATGAAAATTACATATATTAGCACCCATTCACAGACAGAGTGGCACTCAAGCATAGCATTAAAATAACTACAAAGCGCTGAAGACAACATTCTGATCAAATGACAGAAAATGGGATATGTACCTGGTTATCAAAAGTAGAACTCGGGGCAGGTGGAGCTGTGCCAACAGGACTGCTCTGGTCGTAATAAGAAGAGGTGCTCTGCTGGAAACTAGTTGAGCGTGAAGGTTTTGAGTTGCTAAAAGAAGGCGCGCCATATACAGGTGGGGGGAGGGGAACCCTCTCAGGAGTATTCCCTTTTCGGCCACTGTGCAAAGAGAAGAATGAGATGATAAGTAAACTTGAGGCAATGAAAGCCTAAAAATTAGAGTAAACTACCAATTACCCCAATAAGTTGAGTTCTATCGTTGCCTTGTACTGAGAAGGAATTTCCATCAAAGCCGCAAGGGCAAATTCTGTCTCTTTCCGGGACAGGGACACATTCTTTGACATAATTTCTGTGAAATTGACAAACTAAGGAAGAAAAGAAAAGAATTACCCCATGAAGCATTTACAAAAATACTGTATAACCAATGACACCGGCAAATAAGAAGCACAAACTTCCAATATCACCATCACATACTTGGAAATTATCAAAGGCCCTAGCAGGGATGTTGTCATCAAATTCTTTCATCATGTCCCAGGGTCCATCTCCAACACCAACTAATATAATAGACAAGGGCAACTTGCTGTACAAAGACATGTTCAAATTTAAAATAGAAGTTAAAGAATAAATTACAAAAAAATAAATATATAAATAGTGGTTCAGCAAGGAGACAACAATTTGAGAAGGAAAAAAATGTGATGCGCAATCACCTTGCTTCTACGATTGCTTCAACAGTTCTTTGCTCCTGTGGACTTAATTGACCATGCCCCGTATCAACACTTCTAGTAACCTGCAGCAACAAACATATGGGGTGATGTAAAACACAAACAATCTAAAACAACATTAGAATACCCCTAGCCGACAGAAGATCAGCCAACCGTTTTTGGCACAAGAGGGAATGATGATTAGAATGACAAGCATAAAGAGGTATGCACTAACATCTCAGTTTGTGTACATACATATATAAATACCCTAAGAAAATTAGCTCTCACTTACACACAAAAAATTAAAGAAAATAAAATAAAATAAGCTCCCAGACTCTCACACAATGCAAATCCCAATCAGTGACCACCTAGCCCCATGGCCTCATAATGGCATCACCTGTACAACTAAACTCGTCATTTTCAATTTCCACCACAATGCAGTCAGGTAACCAGACTACCTATCCCTCCACTCATACCATACTGGGAAAAACTTTACAAAACAAAATACTTGGACATATGCAAAATTGATAGAACACAGAACTGGACATTGGCCACTAAACCACTCAACAGTAGTTAACAGCCATTTTGAATGACTCCTCAATGTTAACAAATCTCCATCATGTCATCCCCTTTAATTTCAATATTTATTTGGTCAAATCAATAAGACAATTACCACATTAATATCTTACGGAACATCAGTTTAATTAACAATTAACCACCCCAAAAAAAACAGTACCTGACCATCTGCAATTATTAATAAAACATGATATTGGCCACCACTCTGCTCAACAATAGTCGAGGCCATTTCAATGACAGGGGCAAAAGATGTCGGTCCTGCAGCAAACAATAGGGAAACTTAAGCAATAAGAACCAATTATTCTGAGCTTCAGGTATTAAAGTAGGAAAAGCAATGAATGTTTAGAATTCAAACCTGCTAGACGAAGATGAGGAACAATTTCCCTGTACCGGCTCAACACTTCCTCGAATCCATTACAAAATCTCTCATCTGAATAGAAACTAAAGACATCTTGATCATGCGTTGATGCTGTCAAAAAGAAAAACAAAAAATCAGTCCCAATATTCAGATATAATCAATCCAGAAAGAATCACCTCAATCTCAAATAAAATACCATCTCCAAATCCAAAACATGGAATCAAGTTATCCTCATCAAAAGCTGTTAAAGTTTTCCCAATAATGGATATGGCTTGTTCGTAGGGATTTGAAACATCTCCAATATGATGTAAGCTTCTTCTGTTGAATGACCTTGCACCTATGTACAATTCAAGTTTAGAATGTTTCTCTGTAACTCACAACACAAATTTTTAAACATTTTGATAAGACATAAAGGTTGAACCTGTCCACTCATTGCTCTTAGTGAAGTCAATCCCAACAATGAGATTAGAAGACTCAAGGCCCGCGCGCGCAAGAGCCTCCGTCACCTGCAAAGAAAGTAATTATTTTAACTCAAAACTTTCTATAATAGATGAAATGTAGATGGTTGGTACCATCACTAAGATCAGATCACTGTAGGTAAGAAATTCAGTGGAGGAGAAAAATATCATCATTACATTGCAAATAAAACCCAAAAAAAGGATTTATTTTTAAAGACAAAAAATCTAATTGAAGCCACTAGCTAATTAAATGAATAAACCAATAGATTTTATTAGGCTCCATATTTGTTATAGCATGATATCCGGCTTAGCCGCTGATTGTCAAACTGTCATAAGAAACTAATGTAACAACACAAGTGATTTTGCAGCTAAATCCACATTTCCGATCATGCTCAGTATCGGCATGCAAAAAAAGATGAACACATAATCATGAGAGTGCCTTAGCTCGAATATTCTCGACACACTGTCATTCAAGGAACTTGAAGAATTATCAGGTGACTATGGCAAGAACCTTGCTTTAAAAAGGATCACCCCGATGCCCATAAAAGCCAAGCTAAAATAATGAGAACAATGGTTGATAGAAGTCATGTAAAAATATTACTACTTCATAATTGCACAAAGAAGCACGTGTTTTTCCCGGAGATTAGACACAAGTTGTTAGATTTTCATAATCTAAGGATATAATGCATATCCAAATAGATTTTCGATGCAATTATGAAATTTTTAGTTATCTACAAGTTGCATTGTAAACCATGTCTAAATAATTTTAAATTCCATTTTTATGCAAAAAAAGATGTATTTGCCATAGATATTCAATATTCATCTCACACGTCATTTCTCATCATAACGAAATTAATAGGCATACATAGGCACCGTTGCATATGACCATACCTCCTCTAAGGTATTGTAATTATCAGCAATCCTCGAATACCTCCTATCAAGCTTCCTTTGCGGTTCGTGGGGCCGAGTCCCATAATTTTGAGGAGGCGGATAATACTGTTGTGGTGGATAAGCCGGATACGCTGTCTGGGGAGCATAACTTTGGCTTTCTTGGGGATATGATGCCTGAGGATATTCGTATTGACCCCAAGGAGAGGAAGCAGACCCCTCGTACTGATCCCGAGAAGACGACGTAGACCGAATGGATGAAGACTGCCTCCAACTCCCCTCCCTTGAATTTTTGCCCCCCATCAACTGAATACTCACTCTATACAGATTTCAAATTCTCAACAAACCTGGCTTCACCAAATCAACAAAAGATCAAAACCCTAATCTCAATTCTTGGAATGACCAGAATTTTTATTTATTTATATAAATGGGAATGTATATGATGAAGATCCTAAGTTGACGCGTGAAGATTAGTCTCCGACCGACCCTAGAAAACAACAAATCTTCGAGGCGGCCAGAGAATAACGTGTAAACGCTCGCCGATTTCTTTTGAAACCAACTAAGCTTCTTCTTCAACTCACACATCAATTAACATCACTTGACAAAACTTTTAAAAGACTCGAAATTTTATGAGTTTGAGATATATAATATAAGACGAAAAAATAATAGACTGACCAATTCCAGTCAAAAACGTCTTCTTCTATAACACTATCTACGGTGGGACTCTAATCCCCAAAATTTTCTAGCAGGATCGTTAAAATTTAGCGACAAAAAATCTGGAATTAAGTAGCATTTTCAGGATCTAAACTCTTCCGCTTTCAAATCAGAAAACCTCTCAGGAAAACAAAAATCCCCAAATTTGTCTCAATTTCATCACATTATGTACATATATACACATTGAGGCATTAGTAAGATTGAATTGATCGAAAAGGTTAGAGACAAACCTGTGCTGGGGAAACAGATTCTCTGCATCATATTTCTTGGAGACTTTGCGTTCACACCTTCGTTTGTTGGTGAATTTCAATGGCGGATGGAATTATTAAAAAAAAAAATAAAAAAAAAAAAAAAAAAAAAAACGGGGAGGAAAGTGGGCTAACTTTTTTGTGAGTTCGCTTTTTTGATATATTTTGATTATTTTAAATTTGTTGATAATTGTTTTGGGTTGGCACATGGAAGTTTCCAGCTTGAATGATTGGATGTCTATCGGCGAAAATAATATATCACTTTTCATACATTTATAATTTAATATTAGAAAAATTAAAAATTAAAAAAAATCTTAAAAGTTGAAGTGATTTTATGCATTAAAAAATTATGCAAAATGTGTGTTGTATTTTCATAATTTTTTCTAGTTTTCATTTTTTTTTTATATATTTTTTCATCAAATTATAATCATGTATTTTCTTATAATAATTCTTATCTATTTCTATTTTAATAAGATTAAATTTGATTAAAATTAATACATAAATATTGAAATAAATAAACTTAAATATATATTTTAATAGATAAGAGATGATAATATTAGTTTTTTAATTTTTTTTATATAAATTAAAATCTTAAGAGAAGTAAGGTAATTATGTCAAAAAAATAAAATTAATTATATTTTTTTTAATTAAATTTTAAAGGATATATTTGTAATTTATCCTTAAATTTATGTAATTGATAATTTATTTTGTATCTTTATTATTACTACTTTTTTAATGATTTGAATTTCTAGGCAATTACCGTGTTACAGACCGTTGAGATGCCGCCACGTCAGCGGATATACTTGGTCATAGGCTGTGTTCGGTTGGCATGAAATAGGGTACTGCCTTTATTTGTTTAGTGAATGTGTTTAAATCGACGGTGCTACATGCACTAATTAATATAGTAACTAGTATATCAACACTAGTTATTATTATTGATCTCATTCATTAATCACACTATAAATATTAAAAACTTCTTAAATTATGTCATATCATCAATTGGTACACTAATTAGTATATTAATTGGTGCATATAGCATTATTCTTTTCAAATAGAAGTTGTTGTGAATTTATTGTGAATCAACTCCATATTAAATATATTTATTGATCAATTTTGTTTTTTAAAAATAAATTCAAAAATATTTGGATACAAATAGATGGTTTTAAAATAACAAAAGTTTGATAATTAAAAAAAATAAAATGAAAAAACTCATGGTTCCTTCCTGGATATGATTGAAAGTTATTTTTACTAGATGTAAAGGGCTCTAAAAAATAATAAATAGAACATAAATGTTAATAAAAACATTCAATGAAAATCATAGTTTGTTTTTAGTCAAATGATTCAACAGTGGCACACAGTGGCACAAGTGTGGCAAATTTTTTCTCACACAACTATTTTTAAAAATCAATAAGTAGTTATCGTCAAAAAAATTATGAATATGATAAAGAAAATGAATATTTAGATTATTCAGAGAAAATCATGAATATGATAAAGAAAATGAATTTTTAGATTATTCAGAGAAAAGACGAAGGAAAGTGGGGTGAATGTGCTTTTTGAAAATTTGATAGGTTGGAAAGATGTGAAAGTCACGAGAATTCTTTAAATTGTTGCTGAAATAACTAACAATAAGATTGTCAAGAAACATGGAACTTTATAAAAAGAAATATTTTTTGCGTGATTCTAAACATATTCTATTCTCTTTTAGTAATAGTCAAAAAAGTGAGAAGCAAGAAAGCAATGCCCTTTAAGGTGTAAAGTGGTACATTAAACATAACACAAATGTCATGTTTGTGTTAAGTAAAAATAAAAAAATAAAAAATAAATAGATGAGATTATGAGAATTGGTTTATAAATTGATTTTTGTAGTATTTTTTTTAAAAAAAAATCTTATGAAAAGAGTTTAAAAAAAAAATGAATTGACTTTTTATAACAACGTTTCGATTAATTTATTCACTTCTCAAACAATTTTTTACCATAGTAAAAATGAGTGAATGAATTATTAATGTGATATTGGGAGTGAATGGTAGGGATTATGAAAGTAACTCATAACTAATTTTAATATAAGAATTTGTGACAGACTGTTTGGTGTAGTTTTTACTTATAACTTATTAGACAAAAATAACTTAAATAAATTTTTTTAAAAAATGATATTTCATAAGTTAAGTGAAGGGTGTTTTTAAAATCTACTTTTTAATTATCAACTTTTAATTTAAAATAATCTTCACCAAACATTCCCATTATTAGATTGAAAATGTCAGATATTGCAGTGCTATTAATTAATTGTGATTAAATTTATAAAAGTTATTTAAAAGTTCTTATTGTATAAAAAAATAATTGCATTATTTTGTAGAACAAAAATTAATATATAACGTGCAAGCCCAATTTATTTGCTTGGGCTGTACGATGGTATGGCTAACTTGTTGGAATTCTGTAATGGAGCGTTGAAAAATATAAGGGCTAACATTGCACATGAAGAGGACACATGGGAAGAGAAGATTCCCATGTCTAACCACATGTTCTTTGCCATATTATGTTAGCTGAGCCTGTGATCGATGAATCCATTGTTAGCTCAAACATGGGCTTAAATTAAGGCGTTACTATTATTAGGGAACTAACGGGTAAGTCTCATACATAAAATTTAAATTTATTTAGTCACAAAATAAAAAATTTGTACTAATTAGTCCTATACATTTTTAATTGTTACAAAAAATCCTATTTAACAAAAAATAAAATTAAAGATATTGTTATATTCCACCACCGTCGGACTTTCGTCAGACGAACATCAGAGATTTATTGGAATGTTCAACATTACTTGGAAGTTGCCAAAATATCATTGGAAATTCACTAAAGTATCACTGGAATGTTCTTAACGTCACTAGAAGTTGTTGAAATGTCTAGAATGTTCATTGGACGTCATGAATATCGCCGGAAATTCACCGAAATGTCTAAAATATTGTCGAAAAAAGAAGAAGAATAAATTGAGAAATTGAAGTAAAAAAATATAATAAAATGTGATAAATATTGATAAACTGAAAGAGAAAAAATCCTAAGAACAACAAACAACAATAATGGAAAAAAAACATATATTATTTTTTATTTTTGTATGGTTTAAGCAAATAATTTTTAATTGATCAAACTGAAAAGCAAGTTTTGAAACTGTAAAATGTTACAATTTCAAAGTATGATCCTACTAAGTATTTATCTTTATTAATCAAACTGAAAAATATTTTATGAAATTGTAAAATTTTATAGTTCTAAAGAATGATTTATTTCAGCACAAAAAAAAAAAAAAAAAAAAAAAAAAAAAAAAAAAAAATTAAAAAAAAAAAAAAAACTGAAACTTCACCACCTATAATTAAAACTTGAAAACAACTTGTTCAAAACTTATAAATTTTCTCCATTATAACAGGAAAATAGAAGTGTGTAATAAAAAATAAGTATTAAAACTGAAAGATCGAAGGAAAAAGACAGATATAGAGAGATGCTTGTACTTCGATAACTATTTTTTGATGTAAATTTGAGTAGATTTACATCAAATTTAAGTAGATTTACTCATCTTCTTCGTTGAAAACTCATTTCTTTCGTCGTTGCTGAGTACGAAGTAAGGAATTAGTGTTCGATAGTTGCCTATGAACCCCAATCAATAGTAGTCGCCGATCACTGGTGACTGTAGATTAGAAAGAGAAAGACAAGAAGGAATGTGTGGTTGTGGTCGTTGCTAATATCAGATAAAGAGAGATAAAGAGAATAAGTAAGGCACAGGCAAAAAGAAGAAGATAAAGAAAGAGAACAAGATAAATCGATATAGGACTTTTGGGTCTATCTAAAAAGTTTTAAGATTAAATAAAATACAAAATTTTCAAAAAGGCTTATGTGTAATTTGTCCTTATTAGGAAAACTTACTGGTAATTACCCCTACTTATGGCTGATTTAGCAAGTGAGAATTTTTTTTTAAAAGTAAAAAATTCACTACAATAGTAAAAAATTAAAAACAATTCAACTCACACAAAAAAAAAAAAAAAAGTTAAAATGTATATTCACCCTACTCTTTGTAAGTCTTTTTAGTTAAAGCTAAAATTTTATGTGTAAACATAATATTTTTTTACCTTATATTCTAATAAATAAATAAAAATCATTTACCCAAACGACTTCTTAATACAAAGGCAATTAATTTTCGAAAAAGGGGTCACTACTGTGCTAAAAGCACAGCAGCAGTGATTGTGGTGTCTTCATTTGAGGTGTATTATGGCATTATTTTTATAATTCAAACCATTCATTTTGCAGGATTTGTTGAGTACTTCATATCTATCAAAAATCATATTAATCGGATATCAATAACTATATGATCGAATTGCATATTGTTTATGCTATTTCTCAAAAGAAAAACTCATTATTTATTTTTTTGGTTATCGATCATATAGTTTTTGATATTCGATTAACATGATTTTTGGTAGGCATGAAGTACTCAACAAACCCTACAAAATAGCAGTTTAGATCATAAAAATAAGACCATTATACACCTCAAATAGAGACACCACAGTCACTGTTATGGTTTCCTTAATTTCCCAACTTTGAACTTGCTCAATAATTACCCCTGCTTATAACTAATCTTTACCATAACGATATATATGGTCACTTTAGCCCCCACACTCACAATTTTTTGAAATTTATAAATGTTCATCAAGGTTTAGGAATGCAAGCAATCTCAATTCACATATATTATTATTAAAAATTAATATTTTACTATGTTTTAAATTTTAAATAATTGTATTATAATATTTGGTAATATTTAGATTTAATTGATATTAATTTTAATTTATTTATAAAAAATAATAACTAATTCCATTCAAATTTGCAAAAATGGGTAAATTATAAATACACCTCCTGAGGTTTCATTAAAATACGAATAGCTCCCTATAGTTTTGAAAATTACATTTTACCCCAAGATTTTTAATTTCATAACAAATCACTCATTTTATTAATAAATCATCAAGTCAATTAATAGCTTTTAATGATATTAAAAGTATGTTTCAATTAATAATTTAAGTAATTTTATTATTTTATAGGAGAGCAATTATGAATTTCATTTTTTTAATTAATTCTATTCAATAAAAAATTACAACAAGAGA